CAAAATTATTCTGTGGGAGGTTCCCTAACACGAATTCGAAATAAGCCCCCCTCTCTATTACCTCCCTCTCCCCCTCTCCCCCCTTCTTGGGGCCTTAAATTAAATAAGTCCCCGGGACTTAATAGAGCTTTTATGGTATAATAACTATTTTGTGGTATTGTTGTTGGTAGGGTGCTGGAGATGCATTTATTGGAGCTCTGGCGTATTACATGGCAAAGTTCAAGGACCTTCCCTTTGAGGAGATAGTCAGGAGATCTGGCGAAATTGCCCGAGCAACTGTACTTGCTACGGGAACACAGTTGAGCTACCCCACAAGAAAAGAACTGTCTCCTACTCTCTTTAGCAAAAATGTTCCAAGAAACAGATTATCTTCAACGTGAACTTCAATAGTAAAATAATAAAAAAGAACAATTATTATTTTTAATAATAATAATAACTATTATTATGAATGACGACTCCAAATATAGCTGTCTGTGGAGTTGATCAATAATGTACACAGCGGCTTTATATGGAGTGTTTTCAGTTAAAAGCAAAAAATTGTACAAAGCAAGTTGGTTGTCCGCGACACTGTCAAAACCACTAGAGTGGTAAAATGGCCGTTTGAAATTTGAACTTGAGGTGACTGAATTCTTAGCCGTTTTGTTGACCATGTGATTTGCGATGATCAAATTTCAACTCGCATTCCATTTCGTATCCGTTCAAGCCCTAAACAATTGCCTTCATTTTCTGAAACTTGCTGACAGGTTGAACTTGATGATTTTTATCCAAGCACATCCAAGGCGATATTTATTTCTTATTAATGGACACACAGCGAGTTGAAATTCGATCATTACAAGTTCAACTTTTACCGATTGTGTGGTCAAATATGGCTATCACGCGATGAGAACTCAGTCGCCTCAAGTCCAAATTTCAAACGGCCGTTTTACCAGTCTTAGTGGTTTTGATAGTAAACTTTGTGGTTTTGTTGGTGCAGGTGAAATTTTTCTGGGATACAGCCAAACCTGTCCCCATATATATACTGAGAATTTAGTAGTACATGTAAGATGGTATCTCCGCAAGTGTCTGTTTGACAATGTTAGCCAAGGTTTTCAAAATCCTATGCCAAAGTAGGTCATCGGCATGCCAGCTACCAGTAAGAACTTAAGACAAGCACTACCTTGATCTTTTCACCAGTATACACCAAAAACTACAATCACACACCAGTATGTCGCATGCTTATGAAACCCACCACATCAAGATCTGTGGCGTAACTGACATAAAATGCACCCTAGTATCCTCTTATGGCCTGTGTGCGCAGAATAGCCTAGATGACAGAATTTTGAATTCTTGATGTAAACTTCTACCTTAAATAATGTCAATAATGATAATGACTTTGTTGTCAGCAGGGAATATTTTGGTCAATAATATACTTAATTTCTATTTTTCTTGAAACACTAGATTTAAATGGCTTTCAAAAAAAGATTTAGTATGGTGAGGGAGGAGGTAATATTGTAACTATTTTTCAATTGAGCAATTGAATCTTATTTCCTCAGAAGCCGTTCATAATAAACTTGGAGATTAAATTAAAGTTGTGTCAAGGTCCTTTCTTTAAAATCTCCAGCAGGGCTGTCACTAAGTTTTGAGTCACCTGTTGCTTTGATCTTCACACCCATAACAAACTTGTTGCTTTGTAAGTGAATTATATCAACAACAGACAAGTTCACCAGTATAAACATCAAGGTGCCATCCACACAGCGGTCAAACGTGACACGCCTGCGCAGTTCCCGCCAAAACCCCACTGCGAAATGTCCTAAAGTCCTCCATGTTTTGTCACTTTAAAGCTCAAACTTAAGAGATTTACTGAAAACTTAAGCTTTGTACTCAGAGTATGCATAGATAATTTAAGAATTGTTATCCACAAGTGTCTCAGCTCGTATTTTGGTTTACCACTGTGTGTTTTATAACATTTCCTTACAAACTTCGCGGCCATTACGCTTCAATCTCTTGCAAACTTGAAGGCAACGAAAACCGGAAGTGGCGCCGGATTTCTGCGTTTGACCGCTGTGTAGGTGCCATCAAGCATACCCAGCCGTAACAGGTGTTATGGGTTACGGCCCTTAATGATAGCCCTGTCCAGGACCCCCAGGGGTGTTGAACAGCATAATAAACAGTACAACATCAAACTACTGCTCAACAGCTTTTATTTGAATGGTCACATAGGGTTTCATTGTGCGTGAAATATAAAATATGGTCTGATTTATCTTTAGGCTCAGTTTCCAGCCGTGGGTGTTTCGGTGAAAGCCCGATCACACCACGGCTGAAAAAACCAGTTGAGCCTAATCTATCTTGATCTGTTCTATTATACTATGCCTTTCAAAAATTCAAACACTGAAAAAAATATATTCAAAACTCGCCCAACAGTTGAATTTTACACTTCCGTCAATCATAATTACGATGACGGCCAACAGACCGTTGAATTGAAATCCACCAATCAACTCATGCATGTGACATTTTGAATATTTGGCCAAAATAATTTGTGGCAGTATAAAATAAAACTGTTGGTTGAATTTTGAGTTTGAAAGGTGCAGTAAACACAACATTTTACTATTTTACACTGCTAAGGATAAAAAAAATAAACACTGAGATGAGAAAAGGGATGGAAAGCAATGTCTTGTTATGTATACACAGTCGAACCTCCACTAACGGACACCTCCCGTAGGTGGACACCTCTCGTAAGCAGACACTTGGTCATGTTCCCAGCTACATACAAACACTACATTTTTAACCTCTCATAAGCGGACGCGGACACTTTCTGGTCCCGAGGGTGTCCACTTACGGGAGGTTCGACTGTGTCTTTGTTTTACAAAATGATATTTATCTTGCGGCAATGCGAGGATCCTCAGTCACTGGAAATATTTCCTTTTCTGTTGCTTCCTGTGCTTCTATAATTTCAGAGCATTGTTCAGTTTTTTTGAATGTTTCTTTGACTTGAGCTTGTACAATAATTATTACTTTTCCTCTGCTGTCAACATGTGTCCAGTGATTATTACTCTCTTCCTCCTCGTCCTCCTCTTCCACCATCCTTCCCCTTCTTGACCTTTTGTTCCACAAATAACACATGCTTGTTCACTAGGGAACAAACATAATCATGTCATACAAGTGTCTCTGTCTATCTGTCTGCCTGCCTGCCTGTCTGCACGCTTCAATGTCGCGACTTGGCAAATATATCGTATTTGAATAATATCACACGCACTCTCGGTTAACAGCTATTCCACCAAAGATGGAACAGCAGTCCCGAAATGTCTGGATTTTCTAACATCTTATTAAGTGTCCGCAAATAATCTATATTTTGTATCTGAACTCTCCACCTGTGGCGCTACACAGTTCTAATCATACTATGTCTGTCTGCCAGTCTATCTGCCTGTCGGACTGTCTGTCTGACTGTCTGCCTGTCTGTCTGAATTATCGCAGAATCAGATTAGCATTCATCTGAGTTTTTTGAAAATGTAATTTCTTGTTTCCTTTACTCCAGCGAGCAAGGATGAAATTGTCTTTTTCTTGATTTTCTTCAATTCTGTTCAGTGACAAAATTCTGCCAAATGACAATCTACTAAACCAAATTACAGGCAAAAAAAGCTTGATGTGCAGATTTCTTTTCCACCAGTATGAAAATTTTTAACGAATAACCAATCAGTGAGACTAACATTCAGTCTAGATGCGCAGGCCTGTGCTTTTTTAACCCAGTCAAGGGAACAAGTACCAAGTGATGGCAAAATCCCGCCTCCGAGATTGTACTGAGCCCGCGGTGTTCGTCCACAAAGTTGCTAAGAAACATATGATGTATTTGCTGGCGCGATTGCTTTCGGAGTACTCATAGTGCTTGCGCTAGTTTTTGATTGGATAAAAGGATTTGGAAACTCTTTGAGTGCTTCCACAAAGATTTTCCAAAACCGGCATTCCCCAGACTGAACCCGACGACATTTTTTTTTAAACAGGTGTATTTATATTGCTACTTACCGACAGGATCATGTTTCATGAACTCCAGTTTGGGCTTGAGTCTGTTTCTCGTCATCATGTAATAATAACCTGTACCAGCCATGCTAACAAGACGTACAATTATACGTCTGAAGCGAAATAACAAAAATGTCAGAATAACAGTAAAATCTACAATGCTTCAATCAGTATAACCTGAACCATGCATTTTAACATTGTGAATAAGTAAGCAATTGAGCAATAAAATGTCCCTCATCTATAATGCATTCAAACATTTTGATTTCTGAGTAATGAGAATTTTTAAAGTGCCACTACGATCAAATTGTTGATATTCATTTTTTTACATTTTCGTGTACAATATGACTTTCTTATATATCTTGCCAAATTTCAATCCATTACGAGCATCAGAAGTCATTTTGTTTTAACTTTTATTTCCGAGAATTTACGGCCGCCATTACTTGACCTTGTTCCAAGGCTTGGTTGCGAATTAGAGAAAATGACGTCAGATGCTCAAAAATACCTCACGGGTTGAAATTATTATAACAATAAGTATAGAAAATTGCACGAAGAAAAAGTCCAAAGTTTTTGTTGCTCTTCATTCAAAAACAATGACTTCTAATGTTCGTAATGGATTGAACTTTGGCAAGATATATAAGAAAGTCATATTGTACACGAAAATGTAAAAAAATGAATATCAACAATTTGATCGTAGTGGCACTTTAAAGATCGTGGAAAAAATTTCATTTTGGATTCTTGCCTGCAGAATACCTGGCCACTTCAGGCCATTCATGTGTCAGAGTGAAAAGGTAAAGCCGCACTCAGGCCAAACTCACCGCACACTGCCGGAGCTTATCCCAATTTCCATAGTATGAAGCCAACTAAGAGTGTTGCTACTCCCCCTGGATGGGATGCTAGTCCATTGCAGGTTAACCCCCAGCATTTTGTTGCCAATACCCATTTATACTCCTGGCCATGGGTGGAGAGAAGCACTGTGAGAGTAAAGTGTCTTGTCCAATAACACAACACAATGACCCAGGCCAGCACTCGAACCCAGACCGCTCGATCCGGAGTCCAACCCACTAACTATTAGGCCACCAGGTCTCCCACCATGTGTCAGAGTGTGTTTTTATAAAAACGTTGCTGGTAGCAAGCTTTGCAACCCAAAACAATTTTTCAATTCAAATCCTCTTAATTTTTCAAACTGCGATTAAATGTCACAATGACACATCCATGGTCTCAAAATTGGCAACCTTACTAATCTAGTCCCGCTCTCTCTATTTCTGGCACCCATTTTGTACTACTACCCTTCTTATGATTGGCAAGATCACGTGACGTGACAGGGGGTCTGATTCTGCACAGGGCCTGGTAGCAAATAAAGTGGACAGGTATTCTGCTGTTAAGGCGAAGATTCAAACTAGAACTAACAGAGCACCAGCTACTTCCACTGCTAAAAACTGCAGCAAATCGTATAGTTACACTGTTTATAGCCTTGTAGTGTAAGCTTTGCGCTTGTGTGGTTTTATAAGGCTCACTTGAAATTTGTAAGATATAAGTAGCCACTTACTTCGATTTTGATTTTACCACTGAAATTGAAAAGGGAACGGAAAGTATTAGTGAAATATTCCAATAAACTAAGACTCCGTTAAAGAAAAGAGCAGTAAAATAGCGCTTACTTCTGTTTGGAAAGTGTTGGCCTCCAGCAAAACTAAAATGGCGACTCTTTCTACGTCATGTAAGAATCCATGAAAAGTGCTCTGTTTAACGAGCCGCAATGGTATGTGGGATATCGCGCGAAAGAATTTCAATATGGCGCGTCCCTTGGGTAATTTAACTTCTGTTTACATATGTTTACACTGAAAAAACCCTGTACTATTTAACATAACTGAAGTTGAACAGCTGAAGTACTAATTGCTTAGTTCTACGAGGAATGATCCGCCCTTTACAGGAAGAAGTGCGGTCTCATTTGAGATCCGGAGTCGCCATCACGAACTTGACGCAATGTGTGGAAGAACTTGTTTTGAACGGCCTAGATGCTGGAGCTTCTTGCATTACAGTACGAATAGACATCCCGAACTTCAAGATCCAAGTGTCCGATAATGGCAATGGAATCGCGCTCGCAGATCTTAAGTCTGTTGGAGAGCGGTACTCGAGCAGCAAATGCCACGTTCTTGAAGATCTACAACAGCTGAGTTTTTACGGATTCAGAGGGGAGGCCCTTGCAAGCATACGAGAGATTTGTGATGTGCTAGAAGTAGTCACTCGCCACCGGTCTTCTTATCAGACTTACTGCAAACTCTTTCGAAATTCGCAAGTTCTGGAGCTCACAGAGTCGAGATTTCCAAGAACTAGCGCTGGAACAAGTGTTACCATTCATGGTATTTTTGCAAACCTTCCAGTACGGCGGAAAGCCATCACGGAAACTCTCGATTTTGAGCGTATCCGGCACAGAATTGCATCCATTGCTCTCATTCACCCCAAGACTGCATTCTTATTGGTAAATGATTCTACAGGCTCAAAATGTCTCCAAACTCACGTTTGCAAGTCTGTTGTCTCAACTTTCTCTCAGTTGTTTGGTAACCAAAGGTCCAAGAGTCTGCAGCCAGTCAAATTTGAGCACAAAGATTTCAAAGTCTCAGGTTTCATTTCAACTGACTCTCATCACAGTAAGAGTTTGCAGTTTCTGTTCGTCAATGGCCGTCTTCTATCGAAGACGAAGATTCACAAACTTGTAAATAACATTCTTGGAAAATCAGAGCTTTTGAGAAAGTTGCCTGCGGTTGAAGTGAAGGACAACACAAGATCTGAAAGCTATCAGAGTAAAACAACGAGTCCTCAACATGGCAAGATTTTTGACAAACATGGCATCTTTGTTCTAAATATAGATTGCCTTGTCACTGAGTACGACATTTGCCTTGAGCCAGCAAAGACTTTGATTGAATTTCAGGATTGGGACAAAGTGCTCTATTGTGTTGAAAGATGCATTGAAGAATTTCTAATTAAACACAACCTGATTTCAAACTCTGACGATTCTGCAACCTCCGCAGAATCCGGAGCTAATGACGATGATGGTCACATGGAGGTTTCATGCCACACAAATCTTGAGGCTTTCGAGTACAAAAGGGAGATTGAAACCAGTAATGTGAAGAAAAGTTTACATTCTTCAACTGTGTTTCAGCCAAAAATGCTGAAACAGGAGAAAGTGGAAATCAGGACAAGACTTCTAGTTGCCTTATAAAAGTGCATTCTGATTTACATTTTTCTGATGGAGAACTCCCACACATCAGTTGTAACAGTGACACAGCTGGAAATGATATAGAAATATCCGAAGATCTCACTGCTTCAGATTCTAAATCCATTTCCAAAGCAGATGTGACAGCAAATATAGACAAATGTCCCTCTTCTTGCTCTGCAAAACACTTGAATGGAAATTCAAAGCAACTTGCTTTTAATGACAAAGCAACATGCCATGTCGTTCACACAGATACTGCATCAAATCCTGTCAAAGTGGCCCCAAAATGAAGTAGATGATACACTATCATCCCAAAGCCATGCTCTTGGTGACTTGCAAAAGACTTCTACTATTCATTCTGGTGTCAGTGGTATTAGACACAGCAGTGCGCCGATAACTCTTTTGAATGAACTCGCAAACAAGAACAGTGGTGATAGAATGTGTGCCTCTAATACATTTCCAAGAACTACTTGTGGTAGAGTCTCTGGTTCACCAGCATCTTTCGACATGTTTGAAGGTATGCAATTAAAACATCTTGTATCCGATTCTATTTGTTCATCAGTTGGCAAAAAGTTTATACCCTTGTCAAGCAAAAATACTCATCAGACGCCCTCTGTTGCATTACCAAGCGAAGACACTCATCAGAAGTCCTCTGTTGCATTATCAAGAAGAAGCCGTGAAAAAAGAACTGAGGCCATGTCAGCGTTCACGTCTCTGTGCCCCATTACACTGAAAAGGCTGTGTACAAGACAGAGACCTCAGAGTAACAAGGAAACATCTGCAACAGAGTTGACGCTGGCATCAATGAGCAAGAGACTTATCACATTGCAGCCTGGAAGCTGTAAGAGGAGAGTTGTTAGATACAACAGAAATGATGCAGGACAGTTTGCTGATGTAGGTAAGGATGAATACAGTGTTGTATACAGTGGCCAAATTTTACATGTAGATTGGTACATGTAGCACTAAGTCATCAACAACTGCTAGCAATGATGGTATTGCTCAAACAAGTACAAACAACTGGCTGGATACTGCCAGTTGCAATAGTGAAGTTAACTGTGATTCAGGTGTTGGTATGACTGTGTCAAGTGAGGGAACCTGTGACCCGCATCATTATTTTGATCCAATCCAACCAGTTTTGAGTGATTCTACAGACCAGATGTGTTTATCAAGATCTGGAATTGAAAGCCAGCAGTCTGAAGAACACGACCGTTTAAAATCTGCAGTGGTTTCAAACTTAAATGTTACTGAGAAAGAAAGAATCACGCACAAGTGTACTGAGTATTTGGATTGTCCTCAGAGTTCAAGCGCAGAGGAAACGGGAACGTTTCTGGAGCGGGATGATTTTAGTCAGTGCTCAGTGATGGCGGAATCAAATGCAGAGCCTGAATTAATTTCAGTTGACAAGAATGACATCCATGAAAGACCACTCTCTTCGAACAAGGACTGGTATTGTACATTTGATGCATCACTTGGAAGAAAACTCTTTATTAACACCCGAACTGGACACACTTCCTTTGAAGCTCCTTGTGAATTTAATGTTAAAGATGATGACTGCTCTGGAGCGAGTGTAACTGAAGCTAGTGAGGCTAATGACTGTTCCCAGCACTTGCCACACCCTTTTGCTTCTCACTTGTCATTTTCCTGTACTCCATGGCTTCCACGAGAAGATCGAAGACACCGAGTAGCTGCCTGCCACAAGGAAATGATGTTCTATTCTCTGAAGGTAATGGTAATTTCATTTGACGAGGAAGTATAAAGCCGTTTGGGGCCAGACTGGCCCACATTGAAGAAGCTTATCCCGGTTTCCATAGCATGAAGCCGACTAGGAGTATTGCTACTCCCCCTGGGTGGAATGCTAGTCCAATGCCAGGTTATCCCCCCCCCCCCCCCCCCAGCATTTTGTTAGGTTGCCCTAACAGTTTGCCAGTACCCATTTATACTCCTGGGTGGAGAGTAGCAATGTGAGAGTGAAGTGTCTTCTTCCCAAGAATACAACACAGCGACCCCAGGGCTTGAACTCGGGCTACTCAATCCAGAGTCCAACGAGCTAACCATTGTCACTATCCATACCATTTTAATTTTTACTCATTCAATCCAAGCTTTCTTAGTTTATACCCAGGCCATTCAAGAAAACCAACATAATCTTATTATTTCAGGCGTGACTAAGTCTCAGTTGACTGTTCTGTACAAGGAACACCAGGAGCGACAAGAAACAGAGGAAAAGCTCTGCAAGTGGACAGATGCAGACACACTGCAAGCTTACGAACAAGAACTGTTAAACAATGGAGGTAAAACTGTGGCAGAACTGCTTGACAGTTGGCAGAATCCTGTGTTTACTGCTCCAGAAAAGGTGAGATTAGGAACAAACAGGAATGTACAGTTCCAGAAAATATCCATACCCACCCCAAGGAAAGTCATTTGAAATTCTGAGGGGGAGGGGGTATGGATATTTTTTGGAACAACACAATGGTGAAACTTGCATTGTCGCAATATACATTGCAACCCACTTTTGTCCATAACTGCGCACAAACACTGTTTTCGTTACTTTGGTTGAAATTTGGTTTTATCAATTCACTATTTTTCACACATTAAGTCCCATTGTAGCCCAGATTTCTCACTACTTTCTAGAGTCTGGTCTTTGCTCGTCCCCAAGGAAGAGGAGGAGGAGCACAAGCTCATTTTCGCCCAAACATTGGCTGGTGGTTGAGCCTATCCCCCTTGTCAACATATCAATTCTCCTTTCTGGTCTCCGTACATTTTGTATAATACTAGTTGGGAGAATTTGTTTGTCAAGCTCATGTACCATTGGCGATCATTTCCGTAATAATATCTAGTGTCATAGGCCCGCAATTATGCATGCAAAGATAAAATT